AGGGAGGTCACACTGTGTCAAAGTGAGGGTACTCACCAGATTGTAATGTCACTTTTGCCACCTGCTGTAGGTTGCTCGCTTAAAAAAGGCTTACAAAAGGGGGGATCACGGGCACCCCTGGACCCCCCTAGCTACGCACGCCCCTGAACATGCGCAGACAGCATCCCCTTTGATGTCTCTACTGAAATGGTTTTAATGCAATGATAATTCATGTGAGAAACATAATGATCAATGTTACCCCACTAACTCCTGTTAATTTTCTTGAGGAGAACATGTGGCTGCACACAGGCTCTGTAACACAGTAACACCTCTGATTTATCTACGAAAACCAACATAACATGAGTGAGGCCTTCCAAGGGTAAAAGGGACAAGTGACACGACCCTGAAAACCAACGACATGGGAATTTCTAATTAGTAACAAGCGAGTCGAATACGCTGCTAAAATTTGACAGTGACAAGAGAAGCACTAGAAAAGACAGTGACATTGACCCTTTTGGACAGGAAACACAGATGATGAACATAAACATTGAAAAAGGTATTTTAAAACCATGAGCTGCATTATTTGAGAGAGCGTACACTGCAGGAAAAACAGGAAAAAATCAAATAGTGACAGCGACATATGAGTTCATGTAGAAAAACAACTGCAACATTTGGTTCCGCTGATTAGGTAACATTGGTACACAAAAGTATGTGACATGGTGACACGGCTACCCCCTTGGAAGGCCTTACGAGTCAGACACAAATAGTTTTAAAAGGATGGGAGAGGGGGGGAGGTGGTTAAAGGGAATATCTCTTTCTCCTTTGAGGAAAATCCAGAATTCACTATTTACATGTAAAGCTAATTTTTTCCTCCAAAGCCCAGAATCTGGTAATTCAATTGCCTTTACCTCGAGCCTTTCTTTTCTCTGCATTGTCAACTGGTTTGATGGACTTTGTAAAGTATAATACAACAACAACATTACCAACTAGCACAAGCAATGTCAGCAGAAGACTGTTTGTAAACGTGGGAAGAGCTGACAAATCTTCCAGAGCTTTCCTCCTTCCTGACATGTCTAGATATATGGCTGTAAACTCGTCCATTGAACCAATGGCGCAAAGAACGTGCAAAAAGTGATGACTTTGACCACAGAAGTCGAAAACACCGGGCAGGAGTCGTTCAGGCAACCTGCTACCATTAGCGACCGCAGCTATGGCAAACAACATGAACTGGCGCTGGAAATAAGGGATAGACACAACATTGCAGTCCACTTGTGACGTACACTGATACATTCGAAGCCAATATGGCAGAGTGTTTATAAAGAAAGAGGCAGAAAAGGTTCCGGTGCGAATTAAAAACTTGAAGTCGATCCAACGATGTCTCGAAGCACAGCAAGCGTACGTGGATAAAATGGCAACGAAAACACACACAACCACATAACCGGGATAAGAGAGGAACAGTACCTGATCTGTGCTCAGAGGTCTTGAGTAAAAGTAAAAGGCTTGTCCAACAGAAAAGGCGTACACACTGATAGCAGCGTAGTCGAAGAAGAAGCAAACATGGCGAGTCTTGCTCGACATCGAGTTGAACAGATGCGCTCCGGAACTCATGAAGAACATTGCGGAGGTGCCAACAGCAAACGATAGCAACGGATAAACAAATGCATCGTGAAGTGGATTATGCTGTGTGAAAACAACGATCGAGCGCCAAACGATGACTGCAAAGGCGGCAACGTGAGACCAGACATTGATGGTTTCGTTGGTTCGCTTGAAGAGGCTGTGGAAACATTCCCAAGCAGATATCTTTGGGCGACGATAGCCGGACAAAATGTACGGTTCACGAAACTCAAATGGCACTTTGTAATCAGGAAGGCCGAAATTTTCCTCGGCGCTATTGGCATTGAGATCTGAAGTTATTTCGCCGCAACTTCCCATCTTCGAAAATTTCATTCATGAGATTCCTCCGAAACATTGACCTTATCAGCTGAGGTCAATTTCAACAGCTCGGGGCCTGCGCATACCGCAAAACGTGTCATTACGGCCTGTCATTTCGCAAATCATTGAATTATTTTAACGCTACGGATTGCTCACTTGCTCATTTCAGGCTAAACGATAACTGAAACATAATCCAAATATCTTTTGCTTTGACTTAATTGCAAAATTTACAGAATTTCGTTGTGTAGTAGGGTCGGATAGGGTTGGCGATGGGCCCCGAAACGGAGTTAGGGAAGACCCCGGGGTAGCCTCATGATTAGCGCGCTGGACCAAGCGGTCCAAATTCGAGCCCCGGCAGGGGACATTGTGATCTCACAGTGCCTCTCTCCACCCAGATATATAGATGGGTACTAGCGAATTTAATGCTGGGGGAAAACCTGCGATAGCCTTGCATCCCATCCAGGGGGAGTAGAGACACTCCTAGTATCTTCATGCCACAGAAATCGGCTTAAGCTTCGGCTGCGTGGATCAGGCTTGTCAGCTTTTCCTTGCCTTCTTTTATAAGTAGAAGCCGTAAAATAATTGTTGCCCCTAAATTTGTCCGAGTAAGAGACGTGTCATCTGATTTGTCCATTGGCACATGCCTATCGAGTTCAATAATTACCCCAGAATTAGTTTACATCACAAAAACTAGTTCCTTTGTCTACAAAGTTCCTTATTTCCTTTCTTATAAGCACCCTCCCTTGAGCTACTAAAATTAATTGGCACCCCTTGGTTCTCAAAATTAAATTAGCGCGCTGCAAGCTACATTCAATATTATGTCGTTAGTCAGCTGTCTCGTTTCGCGGAAAGCTTTCGCAGTGAAGCTAAGAACAGGTGCCACAAAAAGATCAAATGAACTGTTGTATTTT